CTGATTAGTTTTTTTAGTTCTTTATATAATGTAGATACAAGTCCTTTCTGAGACATGTGATTTCAAGTATTTTCTCCCACTCAACGGCTTATGTTTTTACTCCTTTCACAGTATCTTTCGAAGAACAGGGTCTTACATTTTAATGAAGTCCAAAATACAATTTTTTCTCTTAAAAAAATCATGATTTATTCCCTACCTAAAAATATACCTTTCTGACTCATGCTTACATAGCTTTATATTCTCTTCTAGAAGGTTAACACTTTCAGGATTTTTAGTTAAATCTGTGCCCATTTTGAGTATTTCATTTGTATAGCATGAAGCATGAACTAAAGTTTGGGTTTTCTTTTTGGCATATGAATGTCCTACTGTTTTGGCATAGGGACATCCAATAGTCTTTATTTAAAAAGACAGTTCTTTCTCCATTAAATTACCTTTGCATCTTTGTGGGGAAATGTAGGCATGTTTCTCAGCTTTCTCTCTTGCTCCATTCATCTGTTTATTTTTATGCCATACCACACTATATTTATTAAAGCGACTACATACTAAATTTTAAAACTTTCAGCTTTGTTCTGCTTTTACAAAATTGTTTTGGTCTTGCATTTTTTTCTTTATATTTACATACGAATTTTTGAGGCAGCTTGTCAATTTTTAAAAGCCTCATGGAAAAAAAAAAAAAACCACACAAAAAAACCCTCATGCTAGGAATTTGACTGGTATTTTCTTGACTAGTCAAGTCACTGTAGGGAGAAATGACACTTTAGCAATATTGAGGCTTCTGACGGATAGCTCAATACACTTTTAATGAATAAAAAATTTTAAAAATTGTTAGTAGTTTGGTTTGGGAATAATTTTTGAGAACATCTTAGTAACTTGGAAATATCATGTTTATTGCCATATTTTAATAGGAAATTTTAATCTGACTCTTCTAAAAAATTTCTTTAAATTATTTTACAATAAGATTTACAAAGAGGTAATAGTCAACTTTAGGAGCTGTATGGTGGTTATACTTTTTGACGTGTAAAACCTTATAATTTCAGAGTTTGTATGAAAATTTTAGAACATGTTCTACTATTAGGAAAAGATAAAAATGATGAGTCAATAATAAACTATTAAAAATAATAAACTATTAAACTTGAAGAGGAGACATATATTTAATACGAGAAAGTATAAATGAGCTTCCCATATCTAAGAAAATTTTATTTTCTCAGGCTCCCTATTCAGGTCTGCAGTTTTTTAACTTTTCAAAGCAATTTTTTCTTATTCATACAACTCTGTGAAGTAGGGATGGTAAGTCCTTATCACCTAACAGCTGAGGAAACAGGAAATCAAGTAACTTTCAGTTACTGTGGGAGCTAGTGAAAATTGCTTTTAGGTCACCTGGGTTTCTTCTGACTTTCGCTAGGTATAAAACTGAAACAAATAATTCTAGCTAAAAGAAAAAAAAAGTTTTCTATTCTTAAAAAAAATGATAGGATATTAGGTGGCTCCAAATCTTCAGAAGCACCAGAGACACAGATTTGAAGACTGCAGAACTCTGATTAATCCCTAAATCAGATTTAGATAATGGCTATAGGGAAAACCCTGCTACCTCCATATTTGGCCACCAAAGCAAATTTTGGATAATCAGAGCTAGAACCTCATCACTGCAACCCTAAAAGACCCACACCTCCATAGTTTCCCTGAACAGACCAGAAGAGTCCCCGTAGCGCTTGTTTTATGGTTTTGCTTTCTTTCAAGTACATGTTCTACTCAAGAGAATATGGTTAGCAGAGTCTAGGTTATTCACCCAGGCCTGCATCCGCAATGTGAGAAATCCCCTAAACATAAAAATGATATCCAGAAGGAACTGAATGATCTCAACATCACAAAGAACATGTCACAAAGCTTTCTCTAAGTGACTGTGAGTCACAGAATCACTGTGGTTTGGGAGCTGAAAGGGATCTTTCAAATTACCAGTGTTTTCTAAACTTTAGGTCATGACTCATTAGAGGGCCATAAAATTTATATAGTGTGCTTCACAGTTTTAAAAACAAGAAGAAAACTGAAAATACCATGATGTAGTTTACTTAGCAAATGCAAAGATTATTGAATAAAACTTATGTCATCATATACGTACAGTTTCTAAGTGTACATATATGTATAGTATGTTCCCCAGTGTCCTCAGTCCTAATGTATTTCCTGGATGAGTCATGGTAAAAATAATAACAAATGAATTGAAAAACACAAATCAAATAAAACCTCTGGATTTTATGTTTCATGGAGGAAAGAAAGAAACTCAGAGAAATCAAGTACCTTGCTCTGGTTTTAATGTAAAACCAGAATCAAGACAGAAAATCAGTTTTATACTTCATTATAAGGGCATAATCCCACTCCATTTTCCATGTAAAACTCTTTCTAGATTAGCCCAGTTAGGATTATTGAATATATTGCCTTAGCATATCATAAAAACATTGTAAATTTTATAATTGTATTTGCAGGCAAGCATTAATTAATTAATTGTTATCACTTGCCATAATTAATACGTGTCTTAGAACTATTCTGTATATCAACTCTGGAAAGATGGTTAATCTATGTTTTATTTCAGTGTCAACAGATACATGAAGAACTGCAGGAGAGATATTGGAATCATAGTAACAAATGTAATTTTTTAAAGAAAATAAACCTGTTTTCAATAAACAGAAGTTTTAATATTGTAATCTGCCTTACTGAATGAAAATGTATCAGTAACAATATTCTTCTTGATAGTTCTCCCATATATCTCTATCAAAACATTGTTTTGAAATATTATTAAATACATTTTTTGAAGGAAGATTCCATAATTTGAAATAAAATATGAGCTGGCAGTAGTAGGGTATGCCTGTAATCCCAGCTACTCAAGAGGCTGAGGCAGAGTAATTACAAGTCCAAGGCCTGACTGAGAAACTTAGCAAGACTCTGTCTCAAAACAAAAATAAAAACAAGAGAAAATAAAATAAAATATGGAGCAGTGGCTTAGTGGTACAGCCCTTGCCTAGCATGACTGGGACCATGGGCTCAATCACCAGTATTATAAAAATAAGCAAATAAATACATACATAATGATGCTTCTATGTAAGAAAATTTTGAATAATACAACAAAGTATTTAAGCTTCAGGGTATTTTTATATTCACAGGCAAGAACGATACTAATAACAGGTTAGTATTTTTAAAATAATATAGATTTCATGTTTCCAGACCTCATGAATTTCAGAGAAGGATCCTAGTTCTAGGTACTCATGAACCAATTATTTTTCCAACTTGGAATATAACTCTATCTTCACTAACAAGGAGAATGATTAAGTCTTTGCAGTAGTAATGTACACCATAATGTGTTTTATAAACATAAATTTAGTATTAATACTTTTGTTCTGCAACATTAAAGCCTAATTTTTAAGAACTTTACTGATAAAGAGGGCCAAACTAAGGTAGGTAATTCCAAAAATAATCAGTGACCAAGATAAATAATGAATGCTGTAGAATATGTAATTCTAAGAATACTGATTTCTAGTATTTAGACTTCTCTCTTACTACGCAGTTCAGGCTGGCCTTGAATTCACGATGTAGTCAAAGCTGGCCTCACACTCAGAGTGATCCTCCTGCCTCAGCCTTCTGAGTGCTTGGATTATAAGTGTGTGCCACCATGCCCATGTTGGATTCCTTCTGCTAAAAGTGAAATGAACTACACTTTTGCAAGGTACACCCAGAGCCTGCTGGTGAACTCAGTGGCAAATCGCAGGTTATGATGTAGATTTTTAAATTTTGCTTTCATGGCTGATTAATATTTTCTAGTCTCCTACTGAGAATATAATGTACTTTGTGATTACAACGTATTTATTTTTCTCATGATCTGTAGGATTTTTTTTCTCATAAAGAGTAACTCACCAAAAAGAACATGGTAGTATTTTCTTAGCAGTATACTGTTTCCTTGACACAGTGAAATCTTGGTGACACACCACATGCTCACGGTGGATGGTACAGAAGTACGGAGTCAGAGTACACAGAGAATGAGGAGAAGAAGTTGAGCTGGAAGGAGGAGGAGAAATCAGGGCAGACATTACAAACACTTCTTCCTCCCAGACTCGTTTGTCCAGCTGTCATAATTCTGTATTTTATGCTAATCTCTCCTTTCCCCAAGAGCAATTTGTTATAATAAAAGAATTTTTTAAAATGAGTTATTTACAGTAAGTAAACCCGCTACCATTGGGAGGGTGTTGATACTTTCCTGCACATAGGAGATGCTTGTTGAATATGGCACCAAAGCTTTATTCTGCGGTGAAGCCCTTTCTGCCGGCAAGTAGAAGAGTTATTTCACTGTTAAATCCCACTACCATTCTTCTACTGCTTTAACAGACAGCAAGCTTTCTGTAACATTACTAATTAGATTGGAGGAAGGCAGTTATACACGTCCACATATTCTGTGCTCTATGGCTAATCGATACGTCCTGATAAGAGAACTCAATACAGGTGCTTCTCAAGACATACGGGTCTCAGTGCCACTTGAATTCATGCAAACTCTCTGAAAGCCTGTCCATTTTCGGTATCTTCAGTTGTTTCTCAAGAAAGAAGCTGTTATGGTTTGTGTCTACATGTCCCCCCAAAGCCTCATGCAGTGACGGGGCAGGCTTTTAGAGTTTATGATTGATCCATGATCCAATGCTGGAATTACGGGTGTGAGTGCTACACCCGCCCATGGAAGGATAGTTTGCATATGTAAGGGAGAGAAAGAGGCTGCTTGCTGCCACTCCTCCCTTTTGCTCTGGCTATTTCTCTTGCTTTTGCGGTTTTCTGTCACCATGGACAGTTGCCCTCTGCCATGGGTCACTCTGCCTTGGAGCCAGCTGATTATGTATGGACTGAAACCTCTATGAACTGTGAGCTAAATAAACCTTTCCTTCCTCAATTTTGGGCGTCAGGTATTTTGTCTCAGCAACGAGAGAAAAGTAGCCAAGACAGAAGTAAAAAAAACAAAGATATAGACTACCTATTCTTAAATAAGTTCATTTTAATTTGCTTAAGGTAGATACTATACCAACCAAAATGGTTAGTTATGAAACAGCAGGAAGTTATCAAATATTTCTTAAATACAGAAACCCTTTAAAAGTTTCCTAAGGACTTCGTAAATTGTAGTATCTTTACTTGATAAGGCAACAGTGTAACAGATACCCACATGTACGCTACAAGCGACATAAACTGCTACACCATTTGGAAAAGACCACTTGACAATACACATCCAAAACTTCTGTATGTTTCATTGATCCAGAAATTCAACTTTTAGGAATTAGCATAATGCAACGTAAATTTTTAAAAAGAAACGTGCAACATGGAGTTCATCATAAGCTTCTTTGAAATGCAGAAAACATGGAGATGACATCCATATACAATGACTAGAGATTGGTTAAGGAGATGGTAGGTTACTCACGCAATAGACTACCAAAAATAATGACGAAGAAATCAATGTATCCAGGCAAAGAAAAAATGTTAACAGCTCTTATCTCTCACTGGTGGGTCCCCAGGAGAAATAACATCTTCATTACTCCTTTCCCTATTTTTCAAATTTCCTTCAATAAATCTTTCATTGTACAAAGGTCTTAAAAATTTATTTGCTAGTAGTGTGGAGGAAACTTTTAAAAATACCATTCAGTACAAAAGAAATGTAATGTTCTTTCATACGATTCCAACATCCAAATATTTTCACCTCTATTTGCCTCCCATGTACACTAAACTGTGGAACGAACCCAAGGAGGTGTGTCACTCAAACTAACTTTTCTTCCAAATAAAATTTCCCCGTAAGATCACCACACTCTCATTTTACTAGGCGTTTCCACGTAAACTCTCTTGGTAAGTATAATTCGTTCCTTTGAAGTTCTTCTGTCCCTGTCCGTGTCTCTGATCTGAGCAGAGGGACACATCTTCCTGCAATCTTCTTTCACTTCTGGTCTTCCTGCGATTCAAGGAGCGTGTGCAATGCTTCGGCCTCCAGACAATCACACGCGGCATGCCTGATTCCTATTTATAACTGAGCAGAGAACTTTCACTGCAGACAGCTTCTCCACCACGGGTGACACCCTTCGCGCAGGACGCCCTGCCTGCAGAACCCCGAGCTCTGGCAGGCTGGGGACCACTCGGGGAGCTGGTGACGTGCACTCCTGCGGCCAGCACGCTGCACCCCTCTGAGCAGGAGGCGGCCCCGCGGCGGTGCTGGGCTGCCCGTCCGCGTGTTCCGCCTTCCGTCGACGTGAACAGCAGGGGCTCAGCCCCTCCGGCCCGTCGACGGCACCAGCCCTGCAGCCTGACTCCTCCCCGGGCCAAAGCTCCTGGGCTGCAAGACACTTTAAAGGGGATCTAGTTAGAGGACCCTACCCAGGGGGAACACAGTACAGCGGGGGGATCAAGTAGAGGACGCCGGCCGCGCGGCACCGGATTACAAACCTGCAGGAAGACGAAGACGTGCGAAACCTGGACGTCAGGGCGAAGCCGCAACGCCAGGACCCCAACGCGCAAGCGCACAGCCCCGCGCCGGCTCCCAGGCCGCAGCACGGCGCCTGCGCACAGAGTCCTGGCGGGGGAGGGGGCGGGCCCGAG